TTTCATTCCTCATAGTTCCAGTTGTATTTCCAATATCTCTAGGACTTTTCTTTCGCCTTCTCTTCCTTAATGGTTCTTCTTGTTTTTTATCGTCTTCTTTCTTGTTTTTCCACGCGTGTGCCGATATGACTTCAAACACGCGACGTGGTCAAACATGTGCCATTGGCAGTTCGTTTGGTCGCTCTCAAAATTTCACCATAGGCGTAACAATTTATGTGGTTTAAAATAACTATACTTAAGTAGAATTTATTCTATGAGCGTTTCTGAAATATTTATGGATGGAGTCATTACAAATGGTTCCACATGAGAATTAGTTTTATGGCCTGCATTTATAATTTTCATTCATAATCAGCTCTACTAGTTTTAGAGTTTCTTCTATCGCCCTTCGTTAATAAGGTCTGCTATGCTCTCAAAATTTGATACGCTTTTAAATTTGAAAAATCTAAAGTAAAGGCAGTTTTGATAAATTTCACGAAAAAATCCGAAGTTGTTCAAACCAGTGGAGTATGAAATGCTCTAACTGGCGGGATAATGAATAGGTTTAAAAATGAATTGAAAAGATTTTTTTCTTTTTATGGAAGACCCTCCGATGCAGAAACTTAGGCGAACTAATGAAAAAAGGTATCTTACCTTTGAACAGATCGCTGTGAACACCGATCGTCTCAGAGTTGGGATCAAAGCAACGTTCACAATAGCGATGGTTTCATGAATAGAACTGACTACCAAGTGGCTACCGTTTACCCATTAAAACACAAGACAGCGCTTATTTGTCGTCTACAGATGCCCTTTTAATTCAAATTATCAAAAGATGTGTATATCCTACACAGAAGTTCATTTCAAAAAAAATCTATCTGACACAACTACTTTTGGTTACGCGGAAAATGCTTTTTGTTTTTGTCCCTTCTAGTGTCAAGAGGTCGTAGTAGAGTTTTTGTCTTTTGATAATATCTAAAAGGTGCTGATAAGGTCTTGAAGAGAAATGTTCTTGTCCGAAACCCTTGTAGATTCAACTGTAGACTCGATAACACTGCTGTGAATGAAATTTGTTTTGATTTTTTAAGAAATATTTGGTATGCAAACTGTTCCAATTGGAAGTAGTTGTTTTGTTTTTCTTTTTGTATCTGAAACAAAGAATTGTGTGCACACATCATTAATAATTTTGATTTATATATTCCTCTGTTTCTATTACACATCTGTATCTTTGTGAACTTATGAAAAAATATATTATAATCATATATTACTTGGGAAAAATTCACCACTGGTCGCCAAAGGCCGAAAAGTTGTAGTTATGATAGAGAGCTGTCCCCTTTTCTCAACAAGTGTGTCTTAAAAATATTCGATTTGTTTCGTTTTAGCTGACGCACACTATATTTATACAATTTGCTTCCAATGAAATAAAAAGAAATGTTTTAAGTGGTTTCGATTATGTGTATTAGTATGTTATAACAAAGTTTCCTTTAATAGTAATTGGAACGAGGAACCAGAATTTTATTCTTCAATTTCATTTTATGATTTTGTCTTCGAGAATCAACTTTCAATATAATGATCATTTAAGATGGAACATTTTGGAGGTTAAAATTATGATATCTGAATGATTCAGTAGACTATATATGAAAGAAGTATATAGTTATCATGAAATTTATAGAATTAATTTTACTTTTTGGCATCTTTTCAGCTTATTACTACATTTGATATTGTTAAGCGATTTTTGGCCATTTTTTCTCTACAAATTGAACCAAAGCGTTGCCAAAATAGCCCCAAAAATGAACTAGGCATTTAGTGTTGATGAACGCACTTGTTCGACGTTGGTTTACGAAATTTCGTATCGGAGATTTTACCCACAAAGATGAGTCCCGAAGTGGCCGACCTACAGTAATCGAGGACGGCGGAAGAACTGGGCTTCCGCTCCATTGCGATTTTTGATGGTTTCAAAAGTATTGGAAAGGTCAACAAACTCGAAAAGTGGGTGCCTAACGATATGAACGATCGACAGAAATTGTCACGTTTCGAGGTCTGTTTTTCTTTGCTTCTGCACAACCAAATCAAAACTTTTTTTGATCGGATTGTCACGTGTGATGAAAAGTGGATCCTCTACGACAACAGGAGATGTTCATCAGGACAGTGGTTGGACGCCAATGACCCAAATTCTTCCCAAAGATGAAAACCCACCAAAAAAGGTCAGGTGTGGTGGTCAACGGCTGGTGCGATTCATTATAATTTTATGCAACCGGCCAAATTATCAGAGTCCTATTATGAGGAAATCCACGAAATGTACCGAAAATTGCGTCACTAGCAGCCGGCAGTGGTCAACAGTCTCACAAATCACTGCCCGAAAATTTAAGTTCTGTCTTACCCATCATACTCTCCAGACCTCTAGCCAACCGACTACCATCTTTTCAAGCACTTCCATAACTTTCTCACTGGTAGAACATTCGCCAATCTGGACCAGGCAAAACGGCCTTCGTCGTATTTCGAACACATAATTTTCATACTGACGAAATTAATCGACTTGTGTTACTTTGAAGATGAAAAATGGGGAAACATCTGTATATCGAAAACCCACTCACACAGGACAGTATCTGAACCAGGAATCCAACCACAATCAATCGACTAAGAGAGGAATCATCAAGACTCTACTAGGCCGTGATTTTGGGCTCTGTTATACAAAGGAAGGTTTTGAAAAGGAACCAGGCATCATCAAAAATGACCTTCAACGGAATGACTACTCTAAAGTGATGGTCGAACAGGCTTTAGCTAGAAGACAGCAAGAGCTCCGCAAGGAAGAGAAGCCGGCACAACCAGTACTTGTACTTCCCTACATCAGAGGATTGTCGGAAAGAATAAGAAGGATTGGGTCCAAGTATAACATCAAAACCTGCTTCAGATCTAGGAACACTGTCCGGAACACAGGCCACCCAAGAATTGCATTTACCGGATACCCTGCGAATGCGGAGAATCATACATGGGTGAAACTAATAGACCATTGAAAGTCCGCATTGTCGAGCACTAGAAACACGCACAGCAAGGAGAAACCAGTAAATCAGGAATAGCAGAGTATGTTTGGACTCATCAACATAACATCAAGTGGGCTCAATCTGAAATCATTCACAAGGAGGAATACTGGTTTAGGAGAAAATTCAAAGGAGCCACATATATGTCCAACAACGCATTTAGCCAAGCTAGCGTAGAGATACGCAACACATGGAAACCTCTATCAAGAGGAACACAACCAACTCCCGCCAAACGGTCAGCTTCCGCTAAAAACCGATGAAGCGGAGAGAGGTAAGAGGGGATAGGTGAAAGCACTCGGATGACTTATAAATAGTCAGATCTCGGAGAAATAAGTCTAGTTATCACCCGAAGACGATTGTGGGTACTAACAATCGTAACGTCGTGACGTAACTAGTTTTTTTGCTTAATATAATTGTTATTTTTTCAACTAATTTTTTAAATTTTTTACACATTCTTTCAGGGATTTCAAATCAATTTATGTCATATTAGACAATGGAAGTCCGAACTGATGAAAAGCTTTTGTGTTACCTTGGCAAAAGCGTACTGTTTCATGTTCACTAAGATATTACACTTCAAAATACACTCCATAAAAACGGTCGAAACTTTTGAAACAACCTCATACTAGGCACACTGTGACTGATTGAACTCCAGCAAAGTTGATGTTTACTTCCGATTAGATTTCTTAAATCGTTCAGATCACATTAAAGCAGCAGAATCCTCACTCTGTTCAAATCTGAAAGAAATATCTACCCTTCAGCCTGGAGTTTGCATTCTATTCTTCAAAAGTTTTCTATTCTTTATACAAAAACGGAGAAATGAAAAGACAAAAAAGAATATTACTAAAGTTTTTTTCCCAAATCCAAACCGTTATTTCAACACTACGACACGTTTCGATTCTCAAGTGATCATCTTCAAGAGGAAGATCAAACTAATCTTACCTACAAAGTTATCCTTATTTACACTATTGATTCCTCTTCTAGTGATTAAATTCATCAAAGAATTGAAATCAAACAAGGCACCAAGGATGAATGAGATTATATCAAAGAATGTGTTTATAGTCTTGCTAAACCTCTTACATTCGTAATAAACAAATCTCTCGAAAGTGGAATATTTATAAATTTATAAATCTGGAGACAGGCATAATGTATCAAACTACAGACCCATATCTATTCTCTCAAATATCTCTAAAATCTTCGAGAAAATTATAAAAGCATGAATAGTAGACTATACCAAACGAAACTGCTTGATTTCCGAGAAAAAATATGGGTTTATGAATGGGAGATCAACTCAGGACGCTATAGCGGATTTAATTAAAAAACTGT